TGCCCCGGCACCCTTCAACGGATCTATCTCTCCGCAGCAAGGCCTGCGCCATTTCGCCAGGAGACACACAGAGCACTAGCAGAAAGGATGTAAAAAAACCGGTTTTGCTGAATGAAGCTGCCCTCCCCTCCCCTTTAGGGTAAGCCCGGATCTGCACGCCGCAGGGGAGGGCAGTGACAGCGCCGGGAGGGGAGGAAGGGGCTGGCCTCGCACCTCGACCCCGTGGCGGACGCGCTGCCCCCCAGGATCGCTACCCCCTCCCCGGGGGGGGGGGGGCCGGGGGGGGGGGGGAAACCCCCTGGGCTCAGGAGGTTGATTGATCGATTTCGCCTTATTTTTGGTTACAGGCTCCAAGGCATTCAACCGCCAGGGGCTGAGCAGCCGACCAGTCTGAGGGGGACAGCAGGGACGTCCTTTCGCGTCTGATGCAGGGGAAAGGACTTTATCTCACGCGCGGAGGCGTAACTGGTGCACGCACACGCGTACCGCCGCCGGCTGGTGCCCCAGGCCGGCAACCGCCTGCCTTTGTAACATAGGTACAAACTCTTCTGCAGCGAAGAGAGAAGCACAATTTGTCCCGAATTTCCTACTTTTTTATTTCTTGTAGCACAGACTCAGGTGGCGAGCGTGGGAGCCTTCACTCCCCAGGACACATACACACACGTGCACACGCACTAGTCCCAGGCAGCCTCGGTTATACTGACAGACACGGCTCAGTGAACACATTGGAATTAGCCGGCAACTATCGATCGTCGTTTATACTGATATTTCATTATTAGCAATCACCAGCAATACCACCTTGTTTGTGAACAACACAACTCTCTCCCTTTCCCCCCTCCCCATTCCCGACCTGTTCTGGAACCTCTCCCGAATTATATTTTTAGAGCTTCAGTCCCAAGGGCTGAATGGCAAGGATCTCTTATTTCCACGAGAAGGAGGGAAAAAAGAAAAAGTATAAGGAGCCAACTTACCCCCTCGACTCTGCCAGGAAGAACAGAAGTGTTGCCATCTGTGCCCAGCACCACGGTACTCTGGCTCAAGGTCACCCAGGCGCCTTTGGCATTGTTTCGCTCCAGTGTGCTCTTACCAAGGTTTAGATTAGCGTCTCCGTCTGTGCTTTGCAAAGCGGGAATTTTGCAGTGAGGGATAGCAGCTTGCCCGGCGGTTCCTACCCCAGGGGCGTGCTTGTACGGAAAGGTCTCTATAGATTCCCTCCGGAGGGTGGAATTGGCTTGCACTGGGGTGCTGCTGAGTTTGCAGATCCCGACTTTGGTTCTCTCAAAATCATTTGGTTTGGCTTCTTCAGAGGGAAGTATTTTGTTGTCGTTAGAGAGCGATCGGGGAAGTCTGGCCGTCGGGGCCGGAGCTTGCGGTAGGACATTCTGCGGCTCATTTTCGGGGTTGATTCTTACAACTCCCGTACTTTCATTTGGTCCAGTAACAACTGTTTCAGAACTGTTCACAGCCTGGTTGCTCATATCCCTTTGACTGGCGTAATCCTAAAATAACAACGTCACATATTAAAAAAAAAATCTGTAGGGACTGCACAGATTTTACGAAATTCTTTCCCCGTATACGAAACGCCTGCACTAGGAAATCAGGACAGGTAGGGAAATTTCGAGGTGCCCCGGCTCACCCGCTTGCCCTGTCTTTCAGCGTTAATTTTCTGAGGGAGAAAACAGTAAAGAACAACGGCTTCAAACCTGTAATTCGAGTTTTAGATAAATGTTTCTACAGCACTGCGCCGCCAGACCTCGTTAGATTTCACATCACGGCTGTAGGATGTTCCCTTCCATATCACCAGTGTAGAAAGATTCTTTAATTTTACGCCCCATTTCCTTTCTGTCATTCAACAATGCACAGTGGCTTTTTTTTTCCTCCCCATATAGGCAATAGACAAGCTGCCCTGTAGGCAGCCGGAGATGCTAAAAAAACAAGCGAAATAGTATTGGTGAGCGTTTCTGAGTTGGCTGTCACCTTCTAAAACCTGACAGCAAGACAGTGAAATGGGGAAATAACTGCACCACCACTGCTGAGTTACAGTCATTAATAGCTGTTTTACTCTCCTTCATTTCTTATATTTTCGACTTGCACTTCTCTAAAGATTTAATTTTGTAAACACTCCCTTGTAAGTTACACAGGTTATTGATGACCCACCCCCCACCTTTTCCACCAATTTTTAAGTTACCTTTAAAAAAATGCCCTCTTTTTAAACCTATACTGAGTAAGGTTACACAAAACTGCCCTTCACTGTTTCCGCTGCAAGTTTTCTCTTCTCTTAATCTTGTCTCCCAAGCCACAGTACCAAGGATAAGACCCGCAAGAACTCAGTCGCCATCCGAGGGCATTTCGGAGTATCACCGCCTCCCAGCGCGCCCCTTCCCCCGGCAACAGCCGTACCCCAGGCTGCGGGAAGAGTCCTCCAGCTCCGCGGACGGCTCCCCCGGCTCCGCGGTCAGCACCGCGGACAGCTCCTTCAGCACTGCGGACAGCTCCCCCTCCCCGTGCGCCGCTTTCCCTAGCGAGGGGAGCGAGGCGGGCAGCGACGGGGCGAGCCGAAACAAGTAAAACGCATCCAAAAATCAAACTTAACGATGAACCTTCCCGTCAGCCCTTCTAAGTCTCAAAGAAAGGAAAGCAAGCACTTACCATGCCTTAAATAGCAACAGATTGAATTGGTAGAGGTAAAAACAGTAGTACAGGCAATTGACAGACTGGATTTTGCTCAGTCAAGAGCAAAGCTTTCTATACTTCCTTGGGAAAGACTGGGTTTGCGTCAGTGCATAGCAAGGTGCCCTTCGTTTGACATTTTCTTGATAATAAGAGTTTGATAAATCATTACCCCTGGATTCAGATTTTAAAGGGACAACAAGAAGCCAGAGCGCAGGCTAGTTGTCACTCACGCAAGAGTAGGATTGCGTGTTCAGTGTGACTCATATGGGGGCTGATTACTAAACCAAATCCGCAAGAGCACAGCAGAACTTTCTTGCTGGTAATTAGGGGGGACCATGTGAGAGACACGTCCTACTGCACCCAAAGCAAGAGAGCTAGGGGGAGAAACCTTCCATTTCTACCCCTCTCCCCCCTCTCCCTTATTAGGGTGTGTGATTCAGCTCCCTTTATTTTTGTCTCTGCTTTTCTGCAGTTCACAGTGGATAGTTTTATGTGCATTTATACGAAAATAATATTTATATAATTTCGCTATGTATATATACAAACACCTTTTTATTATGACTTGCCCGATCTACTTGTACCATCAGACAACACTGTAATGTCTTCTTTTCTATTTCTCCAAAAAAAGGGGGGGGAGGGAACCCTACCCTTAAGTAAGTAACGCAAAGCAATACACACAATAAAGCAAACTTCTCTTTCATGAAAATTGTCTGGGAAACCGCTAAGGGGGAGCTAAGATGAAAGCAAATGTAGTTGAAGTGGTTGTTCTCAACCTGCCGTTCTTCCCGCATCCACCAAAGCTTTTATTTAAGTGGGGAAAAATACTCATTAAAAGTCAGATATTAATTTGACTGGAATCATTCTTGCAAAGAAATAATCCACCCATAATGATCTCTCGGAAGTGCTGTTTGCGACGAGGGGCTTTCTCAAAGATTTGTTGGGCACAAGGTAACGTTGTTTGCACTTAAGAAAGAAAAAGTGTATTGGCAAATCTGGATGCTCCCTGATCAACCTTCCTGGCTGTTTCAGCGTCAAAGCGATGCTGTCCCCCCGCACATACACTGCTAGCTTCAGCTTCTCCTGAGATTATTTTATATTTTAGCATAAGGAATGTGAAGTGTGCTCCTGTTTGGGAGAATGGGGGGGGGGTCTAAACTCCCCAGTACCAGAAGCAATTTTTATACATCCTTGAGTTTACGGGTTACTAAAATGGGTTTCAGTGGCCAGAATTAAAAAAAAAAAAAATTCAATAACCCAGATAATTCTACAAAGCCTTTCGGTGCCTAATGCCATCATTAGCCGTGAACCCCCATCAGGTGACTGAAGAGCTTTGTTCCACTGCAGATAGCGCTGCCCGGGAGCGTCAGGCTGCATGCAGCTCAGCGTGCACGTGTAGTTGCAGAGACTGCCCATGTCCGCTATAATTCAGCCCGATTCTTTACATTACACCTGGTCATTGCGGATGTAAGCAGAAAATCACCTGCAAGAGGTATTAAAAGCACTGCGAAAGCAAAAAAGATTGAGGCTAGCAAAGCAGAACATAGAAAATCGTTTTTCTCAGAAAAGATCACCAGGTCTCCCAACTGAAAAATACTTTCACCTTACAGCAGAGCTTCAGACCGTTTTTACAACGCAGCTAGCACTAACTTTTTCTGTTGCTGCTTAAAACATGTTCAGGTTAATATATGTATCTACCTTTTCTCCTAGACGTATAATTATAGTATGCATACATATGCATTTTACATATGCATACTTCCATGCAGTGTGTGTGTGCAGAACGCTGTAGGTTTCTCTCTTTAAATACACTCTTCTGTCCGTATTTTTCGATATACTCACCTCTTTCTATTCAGAAATACAGAGAGACATACATAGAAACAAATTTTATTGGGGCGGGAGGGGGGTAATCACTGGTATTTTGCAATTTTTCTTTGTTAATGCATACTGTAGCCGCAGAGCAATCCTTTTAGAGCCAGGGAATGGAGCAGGGTCGTTAGCTCAGTTATTCTGCCCTTCAGGTTATATTAATACTTCTAAAGGCAGGGAGCAAATTAAAAGCGACAAGGCAGTAATCCAAGAAGTATTTTGGTCAGAAAGACCCTCGAACCTCTTCTAGATTCCTAGGGGTGACTTGTTTTGTTTTTCAGACAATTTGCTGAATTCATCCTTCACATTCCTTTCTAAGCAATATTCTTTCCTTTTCGATCAGCACTAAACGTGAAATCAAGGTTTCACCCCTCGAAAAGGGGAATTTATCTCCTTTACTGGCACAAAAACAAAGAGCGCCGATCCTTACCCAGCGCCCCCGGCTGCGCTCGGGGGAAGGGCGCTCTCCGAGGGGCACCTCGGGAGGCTCTAGCCGAGGACAGGAGGGAAGGACACGTGCATGGGCAAGAGGGAAACCCACAGAGAAGCACAGAAACCTGGATTTCAAATGTTTTCCCCTTTCCTAATATCCCAGTCGCCGGCTATTGAAACTGTAAAAAATCAAGCTTCCGCAAAGTCATGCTGAAGCTAACTTCCCTCCTCGCTTATACAGTCTCAGAGGGAAACACCTGTCCTTGGACTAAACGGAAAAAAGCTATGCTCTGTTACTCGCTTTTTGGACGTATGGTTCCTTTCAAAAACAAAACAAAATCCCCTAAAGGTGAACCTCCCAGTTAACAGTCGGTTCATTAACTTGACTTTTCTGAGCTCCTGCTTGGCTTCTCATCGTCCCTTCCAAGCGTCTATCGCAAAAGCGAACCGCCACGGTCCTAGTACCGAGTGCCTTAGGGGCACCACAGAAAAAGGATTTTGCTGCAGCGCTCCCCGCGCGCCCCCGCCTCCCCTTCCCCCCGCACAGCGGCCAGATCATTCCCCCTCCACGTGCGCCGGCCCTCTCCGGCGGGGTCCTCCCAAAAGCCGTGCCCACCGA